CGCATACGTCCGAGAGTGCCTGTTGTTACGATATTTCAGTGTTTCACAATAACTTGTATTTATTTCAGTTGCTCGAAACCATCATTGTGCGAAGCCGTGACAGTTTTGTTTTACAAATAGCTCCATCTGCGTTCAACGTGTTTTAGCACGTGATCTTGTGCATTTATGTCAACATTTAAAATGACCCTGCTAGTTTATAAAATAACAATGAATCTTATAGCACAACAATGCTCTTGAATTTCTCCGACATATCTATATCGATGTGTTCGTCTGAAAGAACTCTTCAAGTTACGTCAATCGTAAGAAAAAAAAAACATCGAATTTTTGAATACCTTAAGCATCATCATACGTTCCCTGTTCTTAAAAAAAGCTCAAACATTTTAATTTTAATCAGGCCCTGCATTTACGTTAATATTAACTACAAAGGCAAAAAAATGTTAATAAATTCGAGTAATTCGTGTAAATATTGAGTTTCAAATCGCGCATGCGCGAGCTTGTGATTATAATTTCTGTAATGTCGTTTAGAGATTCAGCGGACACCTGTTGATGGGCAAATACTAGAGCATATTCCAATAGGAGGCTTTTGTTAGTGGACTAAATACGACTATAAATACACATGCTCACATCAACGAATCAAACGTGTTTTATACCGTACGGGACATAGCAGAACGAGACACCAACGTTTGCTAAGCTCGCTAAGGAAAAGGGCGATTCGCGATTCACGTGACGGGGAAGTTGGTAACCACTGGACGTGACTTTGACTCGGACAAGTAACTAAAACAAGGTAAGTAGTGATGCTATGAATCATTAAATAATGACATGAATCTTGTATGAATTAATTAATTATTTAAATTCATACAATATATATGATTGACATTTTTAAATCAAGAAATGTTTCAATAATCTTCATGAAAGCTAAGTTAAAATACAGCAATCTAAACTCAGTTAAGCTGATTTCGATGATTTGATTCAAAATATTTGTATCTTGCGTATTGATGAGAGTGAATTCAGGTGAGTAAACCTCATTCCAAAAGTCTGATTTTCATCATGAAAGTACGACAGCGGAGCGTTCAGTTTAATAGAAACTGGTATCAATACATCTATGAACGTGCCCCATTTGTTCGTTAGCTGGTTTTTGAAGTTGGCAATATGTTTCTGTTTTTCTAAAAATGTCACTCAATTTTAATTACATTAATCATCCATACAAGGCCGTGTCATATTTTATAAAGACATGTCAGTGCGGGTGTTAACAGTCGTAACATGTATGGCTGGGACTATACAAGTTACTATCATCGTGTACGTTGGGAGGTTTTTCGAAATGTTTGGAAAGGAATTATTCACTTGCGCTTTTAGTTTTTAATAAAGAAATTCATTGATATGATGTGGTACATTCTACTATAATTGTGGTAATGGTTGTGTTCAAATAAAATATCACATGGTTGGGATGAATTACAGCGCAGTGCGTTATGAAACCTTGTGACCGATAATGGAGACCTGAAGTCATCCGATATTTACCGTGTTCGTACGATCGAAGCGAGCAATTTACGCCGTACCAGCTGTGTATAATGGTTCGATTGATAGCCGATTCTATGTATACCATCATGGCTCGTCTAATTTCAGCGAAGAAATACAGAACAAGTTAAATTTGACTGACAAATTATTGCTTTGTATTGTTATTGGTTTGCGTGAAAATATTGTTAGGTCGGCACGTGAGTTATATCGCGCACCGTTACCTGTAGAACCGTTATACCTTCCTGCGATAAACAAGTTGGCCAATAATTGCTGCCGTGGATATATACCGTAACCTAGGCGTGGTATCGTTTATAGGAAACAATTCAGAATATACGACAAATCGACGACTTCATTCGCACGATGAATAGTTATTCTTACGTTCTTTGCGATCGTCCAGCAGTTAATCAAGAGCCCCAATGACTGTCACGGTCTACCATGGTTTTGAAAAATTACTCAATATGTTTGAAGTTTTTTATTTTTTATTATTTTAATAGTCAGATCATATTATTTTTTATCTTTCGTGTTTTGTTTATTCAAAATATCAAACTGACTGGAGAGTCGCCTTTCTATGATTTGGATCTATGGCTCAACTTGAGTCCATTTTTGTTTAATTCGACAGCACAAAAACATCCAGAAAGAGAGCTATGAAGTCTCAAATATTGCTGACAGAAATGCACAAGCTTGAGAGTGCATGAGCACAACACGTATCATGGCTTAAGTTGGTGTTAATCCTAAACATATCTGAAACAAAGTAACGTAAAGTTTTGGGGATGTATTAATTCTAAAAAATATACCGTCTGTACAAATGCAACCCCCAAAATTTATCCCAAGCTGTGATACGAATTCGAATATTCGTGGTCTCAGTTCAAACTGGCAAATTTTAGAAGCTGCATGGGGCAATGAGTATACAAATCTTACAAAACTCATTATAGCTCATTACCATGTGTTTATTTTTTATTGTTTTTTTTTTCATAGATTATTAATAACAGATATGGAGAATAAATCTGCGCCTCTCAACTGTACCCCGCCGGCCATTTTCCAGTTTCCCAGTTTTATCTTCACCCAGGAACAACGCGAGAACGGAGTCATAGTGCTGCACGTCATAGTTGCAGCGTACATGATCATCTGCTTAATGCAGATATGCGACCATTATTTTGTGTCCTCCCTGAAATGCATATGTGAAAGTAAGTGACAGTTTGTGTATTTTCTTGACATTTATCCCAGAGATTTCAATATATTAATACGAATGATGTTGTCCATATTTTAGTTCCAGGGTTCCCATGCTGGTTTCAGTGATGAAAACAAATATTTTAGGCATTCACTCACGATGCCAAAGTACCACAATCGTCATACGTTTACGAATTTCACACGCGTTGTATACGTCACATGGGACCCATGTTGCACAACGCCGTTTGGCGACTGCGGCTCTCTAATGGACAATTAAATCAAAAAGCAAAATACCGTTTATTAAAACTCGGCGATTTATAATTCTCGTAATAGAAAAAATGTATGAAATGTTGATTATGATCGATTAACCGGGACGCCCTCCCACCGAGTTCTATAAGTGATATTCTTAGTTGAAACAAATTAGCAGATTTCCTTGATTTGTTAAAGCGGAGGGATGTGAGTCCCAAGCGACGATAACAACGCACACCAAATAGCAAAGAATCATGGGTAGACGTTTGTTTGTAAACAACGACACGCTATGGCCATCTGACGCATGCGCAGGTGACGTCCCCGCCTTAAAATGTCGCTATATTCAAAGTTGTTGTTTACAAAATCCAAATTAAAAAAGTAAAAGTTACCGAACATTTTTTTTTCGCACAAAATGATTACATTAAATTTATTTTATTTTATTTTATTTTATTTTATTTTATTTTATTTTATTTTATTTTATTTTA